AAATTAAGGCTTCTAAAGATACTTAAGAAAATAAATGATGTATTAGGGTTATTTGTTTTTTAAATACATGCAGCCAGGCAAATTAAACCTCACACAAAGTGTGATTCTTAATGCCTGCTGCTAAAGCTTGCGAACCCCTGGTTTGGGAGAATAAATGCGTGAAGCCAGGCACTATATGTAATATACATGGATGCCCACCAACAAACAATAACACTCTTAAATATATCTAATTAAAACAATGTAGGAAAGGGCCGGATCATCTATTAAGAGTATTAGAGGGTTTTAGTGTAAATTGGGAAAACACTTGCCATTACAATTGGGAAGGTTAATTGATTTGATCCAAATTTTTAAGAGAAGTGGTCTTGTATAGCTCTTCCGAAGAGTGCATGATATTTTGTCAGTCTTGACTAGTATCACTCTTGGATGGAATCCAAATGGCCCTCTTCTATATTCACTTGTATTTATTTTTTTTTTTAAGATTTTATTTACTTATTTATTTGAAAGAGAGCTAGAAAGAGCAGGAGCCGGGGGTGGAGTCAGGTGGGGTGGGGTGGGGTGGGGTGGGGGGGGGTGGGGTGGGTGGCTGGGGAAGGACAAGCAGACTCCCTGCTAAGCAGGGAGCCTGATGTGGGGCTCCATCCCAGGACCCTGGGATCATGACCTGAGCTGAAGGCATATGCTGAACGGACTCAGCCACCCAGGTGCCCTTATATTAACTTTTAATTTAATTACAGCTACAATGTAAGGGATGTTAATCATGTGCCAAACACAGTGTTTATTTGCACTTTACGTTGTGCACTTATTTAAATTGTGAAAGTTCAACCAGTCATTAGCAGAGACCGTCTACAGGAGTATTACCATTTTTTTTACTACAACTTAGGTTGGAACTCTAGAACCTATGACTGATCTCATATTCTGACCCACTGAGCATGAGATTAATCAGCATGAGATTAAAATTTATGAGAAACTGCAATAGGGAAGATGCAACATTTTTGGAGAAAATGACTAAGTGGAAATTGATTTTTTAAAAAATCAGAATGCAGAATAAATAGATTTACTCAGTAAGTAGAACAAGGACATGACTAGCATCAAAAAAATATCTATAACATGCTCCACATAAAATTTCAACCCCATAAAACATGACTTTTTGTATTCTGTACACTGTAATTCCAAAACAAGAATAAAAATGTTGTAAAAACAAACTGTCCACTAAGGTGATTACTTAAAATCCATGATATACTCTGATCTAAAGTATGCATGTCTTTGTAGATCAGTGTTCCTTAGAGTGGACCAAGGTATGCATAAAACAAAGTGCTTAAATGGGTAATATGAAAGAATCAAGGGGTAGGAGAACACTCAAGAAAATCTTACTAAGTGACAATTTTTCTGGTGTCCTGATGAAGGATTTAAAGGAGAAAAAAATCCAGTCAAGAAACTAAATATTAGGTCTAAAACCAAACTGAACTAACTCTGTTTTGTTTGTTTGTTTGTTGTTCTCCCACAAACTGGCTATATATGTTGACTGACAACAAAAGGACGTGAAAGCAATCCTCTGGATCGCTCAAAATAAAATGTATATCATAAATATACCTGAATTACAGCACAGAGTTGATTCTATATTTCTATGGGGACAAAGCAAAATCTTGTATGTTTTCTTCTTATCTGCTTAGAGTAATTAAATGCCTGTATAATTTAATAATTTTCTCCCCACCCTCTACGTATTCTTTTTTTTTAAGAGTTATTTATTTTGAGAGAAAGAGAGAGCATGTGCATGGGGTGGGGGGAAGGCAGAGGGACAGAGAGAATCTCAAGCAGACTCCCCACTGAATGCGGAACCTGATATAGGGCTCTATTTCATGACCCTGAGTTCATGACTTGGGTGGAAACCAAGAGTCAGACACTTAACTGAATGAGCCACCCAGGCGCCCCTCTATGTATTCTTTTAAATTTAAAATTGTTTGTAAGGTTAAATACTTATTACAGATTTCTTCTCCATATTATTAGCAATCTCTTATACATCTCTTATAGTTGGACATCTTCATGCCCAACTTCATATAGATATGTAAATTATAAATTTGCTTATTGTCCAAATTTCAGAAGTAGCTCAGTCAAAAATAATCTGTCCAAAATATTGTTACTAAAAGGGCACATAACTATGAATGACTCACATTAGATTATGTATTCCATCTTATCCCCATCCTCAACCTCCAGCCCTCTGCTCAATAACTAATCTGAGATTAACTATTGATAAGAGTCAGTTCACTAAAATATAAACATATTGACTCATAAGTTTAAGTAAAATATAAAATAGCTTATGACTGGCTCCTTCTTGTGGGACTGATGGGAAAGAAGAAAGCAGTATTAGGATGAACAATTTTTGTTCATTGACAGTTATTAACATTTATAATAAGATAATTTATCTATAAACTTTAAAATTAAAAGTAAAATTAAGTAATTCAACTTTGAAAAAAGTGCACATGAATTGCTTCTCTAATTACCTGAATTCTAAAGTCATATGAAAATCAGTGGGCATTATTTTCATGTATTATTGTATCATTTATTCATTCACTCAACAAACGTTCTTCTTTTTTTAAACCAAAAACATGAAAAGCTTTATGTATTCAAAGGAAATGATTCAAAAAACCGTGAGGGAAATTACAAGAGAAAATAATCAATGGAACATTGTACTGTGCTTTTTTTTTATGTTATATTAATCACCATACATTACATTATTAGTTTTTGATGTAATGTTCCATGATTCATTGTTTGTGAATAACACCCAGTGCTCCACGCAGAATGTGCCCTCTTTAATACCCATCACCAGGCTAACCCATCCCCCCACCCCCCTCCCCTCTAGAACCCTCAGTTTGTTTCTCAGAGTCCATAGTCTATCATGGTTCGTCTCCCCATCCGAGTTCCACACCCCCCCCACCCCTGTGCTCTTACTGCTTGAAAAGATCCAATTCAGTATTAACTAAAGTCCCTGATGGATGGCATATAGAAGTTCAACATACATTCTGGAAGCGACTCTATGGGTAAGGCTCTCCTGCTAAGGGCTGGGCCACCAGGATGACTAAACCATAGCTCTAGTCTAAATGTTCAATATAATGGAGGACACAGGCATAAAAACAGGTAAATTCAAGTCAAAGAACAATGATAACAAAATATGCAAATTGTGGTGCAGACAGGAGCAGATCTGGTTAGTGGTAGAAGAGCATAGGAGGAGAAGGAGGCAAAATCCGAAAGAGGGTGAATTAAGTTCAGGACATACATAATTTGATTCATCTATGGGATCTCGAGGCAAAATGTAGCACTGGCCCTACACCTCTGGGCCCTTAGGTTCATTCTCCGGCTTCCCTCTGCTCTCCTATCAGGGTAGCTGTCCCCTTGGCTGTTTCCCAGTCTCCCCTGGCAGGTGGCTTCCAGCGGGATTGATCAGGCATTGGCAGAGATTGGAGAATGGGAAGAAGGAAGTAACCAGGATATTTCTCCCCATCCTCGTCTATCTCCAGATGTATTTCTAGCATTTATTGTTTCTCTTCCTTGTCTCCTGCTCCCTGCAATTCAGGCTTGCCCTGGTTTCAGCTCTCAGGACAGTCACTTCCTTCTGCCACCGCACAAGTTCTGCTATTTCACTGCCACCTGCTCAGTTTCTCAGGGACACCATAAGTATATAATCATTGCCAGCCATCAGCTTCCTCTATTTTAAATATTCAGAGTGGTTTCCATTTTCTTGGCTGGATGCCTGGCAGACATGAACTATTGGAGGCTGAATTCCAGGGAGTCTGGAGGGTAAATTTGGAACTAATCAACATACAGATGAGAATGGCTGAGTTTATGCAGAGAGAGAGTGTGTAAAATGGTTGGTAGATTGAGGGTGGAACCCTGGGGAAAATGGCAGCAGATAAAGGAAACACAGTCTTTGGATGAATCTAAAGAAAACCTTTTAGTCAAATCAGAAAAATGTGGTATCTACTAATCCACAAGGAACCTTGGCATCATTAGCATCCAGCATTTGCCAGATGAGGTTTCTGAAGACAGATCAGGTCACCAGTTAGGTAACAGGACCAGATTTGAAATCCAAATCTGGGTTTCCTATTTCTTCATCTAGTGTCTTTGTGATACTGTGCCATTAATCATCCTCTTTCATAGCAGGTGATTTGGCATCATTTGCTTGGGTTCAAGTTACTTGCTCTTATCTTGTGTGATATTTGCACTTCAGTTTCTTCTTATGTAAAACTGGTATATGGTATTATTTACCTTTATAGGTAATTTTAAGAATTAAATGAGATAATACATGAAAAGTACTTAGAATAGTATAAAGTAATTAAGACAGTTGAAATTACTGAGAGGCTATGCAATCCAAGAGGGATAACAGTGCTGTCAGATCTTATCACAATATTATGAAAGATAAGCTAGTCATTGTGCACCTTACAGATACTGAATATGTGTCTGCTGAAGTTAAAGATTTTCTTGCATTTTGTAATACATTTACCATTTGTTTAACAAAACCAAATTTAAGTTCAAATTGGGTTTTCACTTTAGAAGTTACTTTAGTCATTTTTTTCCTATAAAATGATTTTTATACCATTAGTTTCTTCTGAGCTCCATACATTTAAGATTTTCCATTTTAAGTGATGTTTCATGATTTATTTTCTATTTGCATGGTATTTTAACAAAATTTTTTAAAAAATCTCAACAAAATATTTGTTTTTTACTGAGAAAGTCTTCTGATTCTCTCTCCTGTCATCCTTTTCACTCTTCTTTCTTGTTTAACTTTTTAGTATCCCTAAGTATTTAAATGTTAAATATAAATCAAGAAATTGGGAAATTGTTAAATGAAATTACAAAATAACTCTAATCTACTAGGTAACACAGAGAATGGTGCTATACTTCCCAGTGCTGTTGCCATTAGCACATAGAAATTTACATTTATATTTGAAGAGAAACAAATCAAACACTTGTAGTGTAACATGTAGATTCAACAAATTTTAACTTACCTTCCGGGTCTGCAACTCCCACTCCTACTCCTGGCTGTTTTACAGGTTCTTGCCCATTCTGCCCCATCTTCCCTCTGTTTAAAAAGAAAATAAAAGTTTATATATTTAGTTATGCTCTCCTAAATGCAAATGAGAAGACCAAGTTCCCCCAAAATAGAATGACATTATATATTCAGACCTGAAATAAATTACTTGAATGGCAAGTCTAAACACAATAAATTGCTCTGTATCATGTTAATTTTAAAATAGGGGCTTGTTTCTTATTCTTACTTAGTCTGAGCATAATACCTCAAAATTCAGTGTTTTATTTATTGACTCATTTATTAAAGATCAGACTATCATGAAATTATCAAAATTTTTTGAGAATTGGGGAGTTGTTTTTTTTTCATTTTTATTTTTTTTTCATTTTTAAAATTATTATTATGTTAATCACCATACACTCCATTTTTAACTCAAGAAGTGAGAAGAGTTTTTATATCTTTATGTTTTGTTATGATGACATGTACAGGCCCTTTGGTGAGAAGGGAAATGTTGAATTAAATAACTTGCAAGAATAATATTATAATAACACAGATCTTTATTTCACTTAGTGACTTTCAGATCCTGTCACTGTTTTCAGCTGTGTATAGCGGATTAGCTTTTGAAGTCAGACCGCCTGGTCTCTGCCTCTGGCTTCACTATTTCATGCCGTGTGTAATCTAAGGCAAATCTACTTAATCTGGTGAATCTATTTCTCCTTTTGTAATAAAAAGATAGTAACACTAGCTAGCTTTTGGGTAGGACAAAATCACGTGGAAAACAGTACTTAACACAGTGCCTGAAACATCATAAAATTCAATAAATAGAAAATATTAATAGGTAGGTATGCACATAATGGCTTTAGAATTCAGCCAGAGTCCACTACTCTTTTAGTTTCAGCCTTGAACATTCTGGAAGGCCAAATCGGTGAAGAATTCATGATACTCTGAGCACTGTGTGTTCAGAATATTGATAATGTAACAGCCCAAACACTATAGGCTACTTCTATTTTTTTCAGTAAGAGAAAAAGCTACACGGCATAGAAAAGATTTTGGAATTGCCTTTATACATACTTATATAAGATGTTCTAAAACGATGAAATAAAAACACCTAAGTTTTAAAAAGGGTGTTTCAACAAAAGAACTCCTCAATACTATACTTTCTAGACAATAATTCTAACAGCAGGATTTGCTCACAATTAATTCTTACCTTCACAAAAATATTTGGTTTGCTGAATTTGCTGAGAATGCGATCATATTTCTTTCTTAAGAATCCAATTACATCTCACTTGAAAACTACTCTAAAGAGCCTACCATTCTATAGAGATGGTTCTGCACATAATGAAAGGAAAAGATATAAACTCAGAAATTATTTTATCTTGAAACCCATTACATTGTTCCATTATGACAATTCTAGGTCAAAGGTTTAAACACAAATTTTTATCAAGTGTGAAGGACTTGAAAAAATGTTAGAAATCATATATATACTTATATACATATAGATACAGTCTGCATCTGAATATGTGCCAAAAAAGTCTTGATTAAGCAATAAAACGAACTTCAATTTGTGTAATTGCTTCAATGAGATTCAATACAAGTAGATGATAAATTTAAAAAAAATTTGCTCTGTTCCGATCAGACGAGAGAAAATCTTCATAACTCAGTAGCAATCTTACTGTGAGCAATACTAACAGAGGGAACCAAACATCTTGTTACTGAGTCAAACTCAAAAGGAAAATCATTTTAGGAGTGTTCATCTAACAGATGAGAGTACTGAAAAATTACTCTTCTCTATATGTCAAATTTTAACAAAATAATTATGATTTTTAGTAATAGTAAAATTTGGGTAATTTTTTATTTGATCTCACATCCTAGGTTTCGAATTTTAATGGTACCTGATATTCAGCTGCAGTCTTTGTTTCTAATGAAAACAGATTTTAACATTAGGTGCACAGGGAAAATGTGTATGAGAGGCATTTCTAAGATCTTACAGGTACTTCTGCAGCATTGTGAAGCTAAATAAAATACAAAGGAAACTTGACTGTGGGTTATGTGAAGGATGCAATTTTTCTGAATTCCCGGGAAATAATCTTCAGCTCAGAACATGTGGACTACACAGTTTGTAATTTATATTTGTTAGTCAATAACCAAACAGTTACTGAACTCTTTTTTAATTTTATTTATTTATTTTTTTTAAAGATTTTATTTATTTTTCAACAGAGAGAGAGAGAGACAGCGAGAGAGGGAACACAAGCAGGGGGAGTGGGAGACGGAGAAGCAGGCTTCCCGCTGAGCAGGGAGCCTGATGGCGGGACTCGATCCCAGGACCCTGGGATCATGACCTGAGCTGAAGGCAGACGCTTAACGACTGAGCCACCCAGGCGCCCAGTTATTGAACTCTTATGTTAGCCTAAGCAATAATTGTGTTAGACACAAAAGGGCATATAAAAGAAATACCAAATACTGCTTTAGAAAAGAGAATTTTCTTTGTGCTCAGATGGCAAAACAATGGTGTGTCCGAGGCAGTTTTGAAAGGCTTTAAGGAAAATGGGGAAAACAAAATTGGAATGTGGTATGTATGTAAAAAATACATAATCTAGTTCTACTTCAGATATTCAGATATTGAGGAAATAACGCGCTTTTTCTCTGGAAGTTAAAACTTTATCATCAGTGTTAAATTATTTGAAAGGTATGGATAAATTGGAAGGATATTAAGTGCTGTGTGGTTAAAAAAATCACAAACTCATATGATATTCACAGTCTAGAGAGAGAAATGTAATGAATTTGCTGAAATTCTCTTCATAAAAGACCATCAGAGAAAGAGGAGTAATGGGATCAGACTCCTTTTAGAAGTAATGTCCAATAAAAGAGAACTGATTAAATATAAATAACTATTGAATCCAGAGCCTAAGTCTTAAAAAAAAAAAAAAAGATGGGCAAGTGATCCAATAATGTAACAATTTAAGTAGGAAAAATATAACTTGAAAATCATAAAATATAAATACATTTTTCACTGTAGAAACCCCTTTTCCCCATTATTTTGCTTTTGTAATCTGAGCCATTATATAAATATTGGGGGTATTCTGGACAATAGAAGGAAAGATTTATAAAAACCTTGACACTAAAACAAAGAGAAATAGAATTCCACTCCCAGAAATGGCTTCACTCAACACTGGAGAAAATGAAGAAGATCCTTTAAGAAGGGCCCAGATCAGGGGTCGGCAAACTCCATAGGGAGCCAGATAGGAGATGGTTTGAATGGTCCTGTACTCAGCTCTGCCTCTATAGGGCAGAAGCAACATTAGGCAACACATAAGCAAATGGGTGTGGCTTCCAATAAAACTTTATTTATGGACACTGAAATTTCAGTTTCATATAATTTTTATGTCTCACAAAATGCGGTTCTTCTGGTATTTTTTTGCCCCCAAATATTTAAAAATGCAAAGGCCAAATTAGCTCACAGGCCTCGCAAAGCTAAATTCTCCCTGACCTAGATCCCGGAGATGGATGGTCCAATGACGTTTTTTAAAACCTGGAAAACTAGTTCCTTGGGAGGAGAAGGAAAGGTTGGAAAGTCTAGATTTTGATATTGGAACAGACATAACCAACATATGTATCTTGGATGCTGCTAACTTTTGCCACCAACATGACTAAGCCCATTCTAACACATCCTAAACACAATCTGCTTTCGTTTTGCATTCGATCTGCAATATCATTTTCTTGAGGCTTAACATATTACCAATGAACTTTATTCCAAGCTTATCTACTGGGGACCTTGTATTACTTGATATTTGTTGTGGAAAATATGGAAACACTTCAAAATCTTCCTTTTTAATTGTGGAAAGATTACTGAAAAGCCTCTATGAGGAGCCCAATGTGTTATCTGTTTCAAAAACGATATATGAGCTCTTTAAATATGTTTAAATCTCTCCTGATTCAAAGTAAATTAATTTGTTTATCTCAAACACCAATAATATTTGTGTTTGATCATTATGTGATTACCTCATCAAGGGACTACTGCTGCTGAACTTCATTTAGTTATTATTGTAGCAGTTTTTCCATTAAACACAGATTGCACTGATTAAATAGTCCTGGAAGGGACCAGCAGTCATCCTTAGAATTAACTAAATTAACCCAATCTTTCCCGAACAGTCTATTTTCTATGGAGGCAAACACAGTTGAATTGCTTCAGGGACAATGAGTCGAACTGGATAATTATCTAGTTATTTCCTGTTAAGTGTTAAGCAAAGCTTACTCATGTTATAACTTTGTAGTGGAAAAAAAAAAGAAAAAGAAAAACCCCCACACTTACATCCGTGGAATAGGAAATAGATTGGTCTCCCCTGCAGTGTTGCCGCTTCCTTCACTGTCCACGCTATACCCGCTGCCGGAGGAGCCGGTGGACACGGAGCTTTCTGCAGGCCGGTGATTGGTAGGCTTTGCTGCATGGTGTGGGAAGAGTCAACACCACAGTCAATCAATGAAACTCCCATTGATCTCCAAAGGCATCATTCTACGTTTTCTTCATTTACATGGATAATGAAACAGCTCTAGCAAGAACTCCACATGTCTTAATCTGCCTGTCATTTTCTTTTCCTTAACCAATAAGGTGCTGTGGTAACACTAAGGACTTGATTATTTTTATTGGACATCCGAGGTAAAACAAAACAAAACAAAACGCAATTGTTTCTAGGGATAAATCATCAGATTTTTAGACTGAGTTAAATAGTATGTGACCAGTCTATTACTATTATCATTATTACTGGTTCTCTTTGTGGTTTATTTGTACAGTATTACAGTAAGGACAAACAAATATGAATTTGGCTATTTCCTGGAGAAAGGAGTTTAGAAAGACTTGGGTAGAGGGAAATAGCGGGATAAGGGAAACTTTCTTAATTATTTTCCATATTAGCTGATAATCTGTTTTTCTCCTGAGAAGTGAAGATGCAAAGTAGAACAGATGGTTTCAAGAAGTGATTGAAGAATTCTGTGCTTCTTTGTATATAACAACTATCTCCAGCAAGTTTTTAAATTTGAAGATCTTTGCTTCCCCTTCGGCATTTCTTTATCTATGATTGGGACTTGTTTCAATAATTCCTTAAGTTTGATTCTTTTGGATAAAGCAATCCATATTCCCATAGAAACATTATAATTTTGTGTTGTTTAATGCAGTAGGAGTACAGTACTAATATTGTTAGTGTAGTTCTAGATCAGAGGAGATTTGGGGGGAACTTTTGATGCAGAAAAACAGAAGAGAAGGCAAGTGTTTCCTCTTCTTTTTGCGGAAAGAAGCTTGTCTAGGCAAATTTTAAAAATTATTATTATGTCTTCTGCCTGACAGGATTTGGAATCCCAGCTCATTCTAGAGTAAATCTAAACAGTCTCAGCTTTTGCATCTGAAAATAATGGGTTCAGTACGCATACCTCAACTCATAAGATTGTGACCATGAGGAGTGAGATTAAGCAGGAGCTCAGTTACTTTCTCTTCCTCATCTTGTGATTTTATTTGTCATACCCCCAACCTCTTCTGCAGGGTTTCCCTGTCAATCACTGCTCCATAGTGTCTTTGAGCATACCTAGCCCCTGATAATGAATTTGCCTCGATTTTCTTTCCAATTCTAGACATGTTCTAGGATTCAAAAATACTTCGAGTCTCTCTCTTCTATAAAAACACCTGTGTTCAATCAGGAGTTTCTTAAGCATTTGGATAGATTCACACTGCGGGCTAATCATTGATAATCATTTAATGACTCTAAGATATCTACATTTTTCTTAAAGAGATGTATACAAACACAATGACTCCTAATGTGGTGGAATTTTAATAAAACCAATACATCCAAATGAAGGGAAAACTACAGACATTGTGAGGGAAACCACTTGAGGACAGGAAATCCACCATCAGGGTAATCGGGATCAAGTCTCGCAAAAGTTTTGGTTTTTCCCCACGTCTCCACTTTTTCCTTTTTGGGACAACAGATTCTCTAAAGCCACCAGGACTTGTTATATTATCTAATCCAGTGATAGCAAGATCACTTTCTCAGAATAGAGAAATAAGGAAGAAATGTTGGGCAATAACATAGCAGGTATCTGTAAGTTGGGACTAGCTATTTAGCAAAAGGCTTGAATATTGTTAAATAACCAGTCACAGATCAATTACTAGCAACCCATAGTAGATTTGAGGAGACAGAACGGTAGTTATAATGTTTGATATTTTCTATGTAGGAGAAACCCAGATGGTGTAGTTAGTGTTAACTTAGGACTTTTTAAAAGGATAACTTAAAAAATATAAATGACTATCATATATGACTATGATATAAATTATGAACATTTGTAAAGTAAATTAAACTGTATAATCAAACACATAATGAGTCAGATTAGTCAACTGGTTGTAAATAAAGGAACGCTGCCACATTTTTTGATTGTCATTATGTAATCCAATCAACAATATTGTTAATATTTTTTAGTATGATATTGAATGAAACGCTTTAATACCATCAACTGGAAAATCTCAGTATACTACTTTCAAAAACAAACCTTAATTAATATATGCTAATTTTTAAATCAACTTATTTTTACTAGATTAAAACAATTTTCAGCCAAGATCCATCTTGCAATGCATCAAAATAGCTATTATAGCAGAGCTGTCTTATTTAAATTTCAAAATATTCAATCTTTTCTATGTGAACTTTGATTTTACCTGATGCAATTTCTAGTTCTATTCCTCTTCTGGAAAATCTGAGATGTGGACAGAATGTAAAACAATATAACAAGAAGAAAGGAACAAGGGTAGAAATAAATTTAAGGAGAGCTTTTCATCTTGTCTAGGTGAATAGAAATCTCATTTGGAAAGCCTGTACAAGTGCTGTCAATTTAAATGCAAACAAATAATAGTTTATAAGAAACATAAAAAGAAAGAAAACCAAATCTAGAGAACATATACATATACTGGAATAAATCTAAGTCTACTTAACATATTTGAAAAACAAAATTATGTGTAAGTTTGAGTCTAAAGAAACTTCGGGCAGTTAGAAGTTAGGTGAACAATTCACATAAATGGAGATGTTTGGCATCATCTTACCAAAACATCTGGTGCTTGATATATTTTTTTTTTCCTAATCTGGTATGGAAGTGTAGAGTAAAGAGAGCCTGATGTCTGGTAGTTTCTAAAAATGAATTCAACTAAAAATGTAGAAGAGACCTTTGCTTTTTACTGGGCTATAGCTACATAGCATAAAATGCAATTAAACATACAGAAATGCAGAGGTTTTGATAAACTGGTACAAGTATTTTAATAGTTCTTTATCAGATGCTTGAAACAATGCATATATTTACTAATTTTTTTCTCTTGAAACAGTCTCCAAATAAGAACATACCAATTCTCTTACACTGAGCTAAACCTGCATTATCTCCAACACGTTAATGAATAAAGTACTTTTATGACTTGGTATCCAAGGCTAGATCTCAAAGTAATTTCAAGGCATCTCATGATTTTGGTCATATTCTTTACTTTGCCTCTCAAAGTCCTTAACCATCTGCTTCTTTCCAAATGTATCTCCTGTCATTCTCCTTTGTACACTTTTCACGGAAGCCCACTTAGACCAGTCACACTGGCTCCCTTGGGTTTGGCTTTTTTTTTTTCTCCCGAGCTGTAGCTGGGCCCGTTCTTCTGATTTTGTCATGCCTTTCTCTGCCCCTGTCACTTTCTCATATCGAAATTGTACTTGTCCATAAAGGCCCAGCTCCGATTGCACCTGCTCCGTGTATTTTCCTCATCTTCCCACTCAGAAGCAAGCTCTTCTCTAGCCGTACTCTCCTAGCACAAGATCACAGGTCTGTTTCTGCAAGGACCACTTTCTATCTTTGGCTGTGGTTGTCACATTCATGTTGCTGTTGGAAGCCAAGCCTGTGTTTTCTCCACCACAGCCTTCTCAAAAGCTTATCCTGGAACTATGCTCAAGCCATACTTAATGAAATAATAAAATTAATAATTCTTTCCCTTAACAACACAACTCAAACATCTGAATGATTAAGTAGATATTTTACTTTTCACCTGGCTGTGTGCATTATGCAAATCATAAATCTCTCATTAACACCACTTGATGTGGGAGGGTTATTTTTTTTTTTCTCCATGTTTTGTCAAGGAAACTTGGGGCAATGCAATTTTTTTGGGGGGGAGGTTTTAAAAACAGAGATGCAACTTTATTCTGTTATATGGTAGAGAAAAACGTGATCACTCAACTAGGTATTTTATTTTTTCCCAATCCCTCCAAAACCGGTTTAATTGAAAGGAATATTTAATGATAACCCACTAAACATGGGAGTGCATAGTTTTGTGAATTTAAAAAAATCCTAACAGACCATGGATATTTTATATATGTATTTAAATTGGAATGATAGTAGTAAATAATATGTATAGTCACATTCCATGGGAGAACAAGAGGGTGTTCTTACAGACATTAGTATTTGTGCTGGTTCCAAATCTGGATATACAGACAGCTGGTGAACTCTGGTTTATATTTAATATATTTAAATATAAATATAATAATATTTAAAATAATGTTTTATAACATTAAAACTAAATATGACTTTCAATAGACTTATGATTCCAAATTAATAATTTAAAACTATTCTACCTTTGCTTTATTCTCTTTAAATAAGAGTTTCAGAGATCATGGACCTATTATGCTTGAATATGTCATGTGCCTGTGTATTGCACATGAGAAGTGTTTCTTTTATGAAGAACTGAGGTTTAGTTAATAATAAAATGCATTTTGGAAGCCTACATTTTTGTGTCTTCTTTCTTTTTTAATTCCTATTTGTACTATCAAGTGCCAACGAGGAGAAAGAATGTAATCTCATAAATATATGATGGAATAAGCCCACTCCAGTAGAGAGGGTTCCTGTACCCTAGAGGAATAAATCCTAGAGTGTTAAATCATTTCCGTCCTCAATTATTGAGGGGGCATTTCAAGTAAACACATTTTACCTTCTGTGAGGCCATTCAATCTGTTTTAAATTATTTTTTGACCTCTTCATTTTCTTCAGCTGCGAGATAGTTAGACATCATTTTGTTTTATTACTCCACTGTGGCTAACCTTAATTAAACCTGGTAGTGTCTTTTTGACTGCACATCTATCTTCAATTAGTTGGCTCTGTTGGTTTTTTCCCCCCTCAACCATACTTAAAAATGCAGATCTATCACTGTACCTACCACACGAGGGCAGCATTAGGCTCACAGTCCGTGGAACAGAACTGTAGACTTGACTTTGTATAATTGTGGAACCATGGAAATTAAAAGGGGGCAAGAACTCTAGAGGATAGCCCTCTCCAGAACCATCATTTCGCCTATAGAAAAACTAAGCCCTAGAAAGATTAAGTGATTTGTTCCGCGTCACACACTAATCAAGGAGAGAAAGAAAAGAAAAACTAAAAAGTGCTAATC